TAATATGTACAATAAGGTTATGTGCTAAGAGCAGACAGGACATGATAAATAATTGATTAAGAAGGCGACCACTGGCAACACTTAATAATATATAGTTTGGTTATTTGTAGTACAGTTGATAATGTAGAGTTAACTCTTTACAAATTGTTCYCCAACGCAACTATGCYACCCATTAGCTCATAGGCGATAGGCTCATATCTTAATTCCATTGTAAAAAAATATTTATTGTTTTTTTATTTGTAAACAAGACATACAATAAGAATCAATAATATAGGCATGTACCTTTTGCACGGTCGCATGAACCGTCACTAAAAATATAACGWATCAATAGTGAGCTAACGGTCCCTTAATCATGATTTAGTGAACCATGATTAAAACATTAAATCGATACATTTTTCATGGAACACTGCAACCCAGCATAAGTGTTTTTAATATTGATTTTAACATTTGATGCACTGACTTCTTACAAAAACTTTGTATTTTACCAAACGGATTAGGATTTTACTAATAATTGTATTAAATATGGTACCTATATGTAATCTTTCTAATGTATTTTTGTTAAGTTTTAATAAAATACAATTTTTAACACCAATATAAACTTAATAATTATGTACCTATTTAAAGTTTATACATATTTTACATATTATTTTTTTATAGAGAAATTTTACGTTGCATTGATTCACTTCAGTTGTGTGATAGAAAAAATACTATTGCTACACCTGCAAATTGGGTGGTAAGTAAATAATTACTAATTTTTTTTGTCATGAAACTTCTAATATTAAATAAACTTTTGTTTATACTAGCCCGGTGAAAAAGTTATGATCCTGCCAACAGTTAAAGATGAAGACCTCGATACTCTCTTTCCAAATGGTTATGAAAAACGCTCCATGCCTTCTTCAGTTGATTACTTGAGAACAACTACCGATTATTAAAATACATCATTTTTTGAGTCTGTTATTCACATTTATTGAAAAGGGATTTATATTTTTTTAATTAATTATAATTTGTTGAAATTATAGTTTATAATATTAAGTGATCGAATTTACAATTGCATTATTAATTAATAATTACAGATAATGACATATCAACACAGTTTATTTTCAGATATTGTATGTATTTGTATTATAATTAAGACTAAAATCAAAAACTAATCTCACAAATTGTTATACCTCTA